ATAAAATCTACCATATTTACAAAATTACAATACTTTAGACCTTTTATCATTAACTAACGGAAGCACAGCCCTTTAACTTTATAGTTTAAATAAACAGTTAACTTATATAATATGTACATACCAAGATTTGTGTTACAGAAATCTTGAACAATGATTAAATAGAAACGTAAAGTAATCAGTCCAAAAGAGACAACTGAAGAAAAAAGGCTTAAAATTAAAGTTTAGTCACACAGGAAGAGTCTCCTAAAAATAGAGCGATGGATCTCACCTAATCAGAGTTGTTTCAGATTTAACGAATGTGAAAATTCACAATTTTATGCTAAGGATTTGTGTTCATTTGGATAATGAAGAAAATTTGTTAATCTTTATTTGTTTTACATTTAACAAATAATTGATGATGATTACACAAGCAGCTTTGATATCTTATTGTAAGTCTGCAGAAGCAGATTCTCCCCATCCTACCTTGATTTATTTTTTAATTTAAATGACCTTGTGTGTACACTGTTAAATAATTTTGAATATTAAAAGTTAACAAGTTGTTGTATGTAATAAATTCATTTTGATTATTCCTCAAAAATGTTGTAATGGTCCATGTTGGATTAAAAAACTTTGAGTCGCTGAAATCTGTAATATTTTTTTTCTTATGTACATATGATATATGTTCCTCTGCAATATATCACACATTTGTGTTGTGAGGTTTTAATATTACAATAACAAAGGTTGATAGCGCACAAGTTAAAAGTCTCAACTAGCATCAAAAACAGTAGAATACATAAGTACATGAATTAATCAGTCCAAAAGAGACAACTGAAGAAAAAAGGACTGAAAAAGATGCACAGTCACAGTAAGAGTCTCCTAAGAATGGAGCATTGGATCTCACTAAATAAAAAATACATTTATTACAGAGAAGTAAATTTGAAGTATTATAAATAAACAAAGAACCCAACCTTCTCTGATTGAGTGAGATCCAATGCTCCATTTTTAGGAGACTCTTCCTGTGTGACTGAACTTTTTTTTTAAGCCTTTTTTCTTCAGTTGTCTCTTTTGGACTGATTACTTTACGTTTCTATTTAATCATTGTTCAAGATTTCTGTAACACATTATATAATTGTACATATTATATAAGTTGATTGTTAATTTTGGAGTACGAAAGGTGTGAGGCAGGGGTGTGTGCTGAGCCCGATCCTGTTTTGCATTTATAAGTTGATTGTTTATTTAAACTATAAAGTTAAAGGGCTGTGCTTCAGTTAGTTAATGATAAAAGGTCTAAAGTATTGTAATTTTGTAAATATGGTCGATTTTATAAGCCGTATAAGATAAGTAGAATATTTATTTACTTGTAGAGATCCATTCTCAGGTAAAAGATAAGTTGTACACTTGCCGCAAACAGCACAGACAGTGTCAACTTTATATTTTATATTTAAAAAATTAGTTGCGGCTGGTTTATAAATAATAAAGTGACTTTACTGTAAATAGCAATAATTATTTGGATCAGCGCCATCTAGCGGTCTTTATTTTTTAGTCAAAAGTGGCTCCTAAAATTCTGAATCAGAGCAATCAGGATAAGAGCTTTTTAGTCATTTATAAACCAGCCGCAACTCATGATGAAGCTATAAAATCAAAAAATAAGAATACATGTGTTTTTGGCGGCAAGTTAACAATCTATCTTATGCTCAAAAATGTATCTTCAAAGGTATAAATACATAAGAGGTCGATTTTTTGGTAAAAAATAGATTGTTAACTTGCCGCCAAAAACACATGTATTCTTATTTTTTGATTTTATAGCTTCATCATGAGTTGCGGCTGGTTTATAATTGACTAAATAGCTCTAATCCTGATTGCTCTGATTCAGAATTTTAGGAGCCACTTTTGGCCAAAAAGTAAAGACCGCTAGATGGCGCTGATCCAAATAATTATTGCTACTTACAGTAAAGTCACTTTATTAATTACAAACCAGCCGCAAATTACCTTATAAACAGACGATAAATAGTTGACATTTTTTATGCTACTAGCGGCAAGTTTACAATATGTCTTTTACTTGTAAATCGACCCTGAAAAGTATAAATATTTACCTTATCTTATACGGCTTATAAAATCTACTATATTTACAAAATTACAATACTTTGGANCCACTTACTATATATATATACATTCATTAAAAGTTTTTATTTCAATGTTTATTCGCGTTGCATAATGGATTAAAAAGTAAAAACCTAATGTTTCGTCCCATGAACTCCAATTTCTTGTCTTGATTTCCATTAATAGTATAATTTTGTTGCAATTTTTTTTTCTGAGATTTTGTTGCAACAGTGCTGTTCTTTACAGTAGTGTAATAAAGCATTATTGCATATCGACACACTAAAATTACATTATACATGTTCCTGATTGTATATTAACTTTGGCAATTATTATTATCTTTAATGCATGAGAGTGAACGAAAAAATAATTTGAATAACTCAAGCAATTTTTGGATTTTTTAATCTCTTTTTATTATGCACGTTGAATAAACAGGCGCGAGCGAAGTCTCAAGTGATTCGTCCTTCTAGCGACGAAGGACCACTTTATTGCATCAGAGACGTGTTGCTAAGAGGGATAGGTATACAATATAAATTAACGCAGAAAAAACTTACAAACAACCGACAGTACGTACAAAAAGGCTCTCGTACTTCACCTTTTTCGTGTGAGTTAGTTTACTTTTAATTCAATTGACGTTGTCCACACCAACGTGTTTCGTTTATTGCCTCGCGTCGCTCACTAGGACGTATAAAAAATATATGTATGTATATATATTTATATTTGTGTATAAAAGTCAGATTTTACCGAAAAAATAAATAAATAAATAAATTATAAAGATATATGATCATTGTCATAGTCTGCGCCATTATTGCATTTGTTCTCGTCATTGTTCTGACCTGCTGTAACAGTGTTTGTCGCAAGCATCCGACCAATTTGCTTGTTAACTTTTAATATTTAAAATTATTTAACAGTGTACACACAAGGTCATTTAAATTAAAAAATAAATCAAGGTAGGATGGGGAGAATCTGCTTCTGCAGACTTACAATAAGATTTCAAAGCTGCTTGTGTAATCATCATCAATTATTTATTAAATGTAAAACAAATAAAGATTAACAAATTTTCTTCATTATCCAAATGAACACAAATCCTTAGCATAAAATAATGAATTTTCACATTCTTTTTATCTGAAACAACTCTGATTAGGTGAGATCCAATGCTCTATTTTTAGGAGACTCTTCCTGTGTGACTAAACTTCTTTTTTAAACTTTTTTTCTTCAGTTGCCTCTTTTCGACTGATTACTTTACGTTTCTATTTAATCATTGTTCAAGATTTCTGTAACACAAATCTTGGTATGTACATATTATATAAGTTAACTGTTTATTTAAACTATAAAGTTAAAGGGCTGTGCTTCCGTGAGTTAATGATAAAAGGTCCAAAGTATTGTAATTTTGTAAATATAGTAGATTTTATAAGCTGTATAAGATTAGGTAAATATTTATACTTTTCAGGGTCGATTTACAAGTAAAAGACATATTGTAAACTTGCCGCTAGTAGCATAAAAAATGTCAACTATTTATCGTCTGTTTATAAGGTAATTTGCGGCTGGTTTGTAATTAATAAAGTGACTTTACTGTAAGTAGCAATAATTATTTGGATCAGCGCCATCTAGCGGTCTTTACTTTTTGGCCAAAAGTGGCTCCTAAAATTCTGAATCAGAGCAATCAGGATTAGAGCTATTTAGTCAATTATAAACCAGCCGCAACTCATGATGAAGCTATAAAATCAAAAAATAAGAATACATGTGTTTTTGGCGGCAAGTTAACAATCTATTTTTTACCAAAAAATCGACCTCTTATGTATTTATACCTTTGAAGATACATTTTTGAGCATAAGATAGATTGTTAACTTGCCGCCAAAAACACATGTATTCTTATTTTTTGATTTTATAGCTTCATCATGAGTTGCGGCTGGTTTATAATTGACTAAATAGCTCTAATCCTGATTGCTCTGATTCAGAATTTTAGGAGCCACTTTTGGCCAAAAAGTAAAGACCGCTAGATGGCGCTGATCCAAATAATTATTGCTACTTACAGTAAAGTCACTTTATTAATTANTTTGGGAGAAGTTTGCATGGCTCTAGGCCTAAACTGCCTAAAGCTCTCCTTCAGAATTTCAGAAGCAATTTTTGGCCAAAAAAGTTTCGACCGCTAGATGGCGCTGATCCAAATGATTATCACTACTTATAGTAGAGCCATTTAATTAATTATAAACCAGCCGCAACTAATCTTAAAGATACATAATATAAAGTTGACACTGTTTGTGCTATTTGCGGCAAGTTTACAACTTTTCTTTTACTGAAAATGGATCTCTAAAAGTAAAAATATTCTACTTATATGGTTTAATAAAATCGACCATATGGCACTACTTAGAAGTGATTACTATAATTACTACACATAAGTAACTTCACGTATATCTTAAGTACACCGTGCTCTCTTTACCAGAATGATAAAATCAGAGGCTGTATTCCGGCATTCCGGACTCCGCAAATGCTGCTAGCAGTTAGTTATGTATAAGAGTTAAGTAGGTCGTTGTAACGCCACATGGTCGGTCGGCGCTAGCGTACGTCAATCTGTATAACTAACTGTCGGTGACGGTTTTGGGCTTGCGGTGGGTTACTGGGTTCCGCATGTCAACAAACTCCGAAATATCGGGTGGCATGGGAGTGAAAACAGCTAAAAACATCGAAGTTTGTTGACATGCGAATGATGCGAACCGAGCAATGACGATAATCAATAATGGTACTACTTTTTGAATGAGTGAACTTTCGAAGCTATTGGAAAACTTCCTTATTTCCGCGGGTGATAGATAATGCAAATTTCCGACTTAGTTTAGTGGTTGATTATATTATTTGTGATTATTAAATGCATGGGAGCGTTCGAAAATTACCATTGTATAGTTAAAACAATATGTGCAAATATGTATCATAATAATACCAAAATATTAATTTCTGATCATTCACCATTCAAGAATACTTACTACAAATGGAAAGCATAAGGCTTCCACGGAGTGCTGTATTACACGATATTGATAAGAGGATCGCTCTGCATTACAATTTTTCTCAAACGATAAAAGTTTAAAAATATTTTTCTATACGCTTTTATAAAAATACATAACAACAAAGCACATATTTTATTCGCACACTTGATATAGTAAATAATAGTTTGTCATTTATAATATACATTTTTTTACATTAATTAGAAAAACGATTTCTGATGCCATGGAAAAAATTGTTGGTATTTGTAGTTATCCATATAGTGCCAATTCATAGTTGATTTAACTGAAACAAATATATGTATTATTAATAAAAAATTTTCCTATAGTACGCATATTGTATAATTAATTAATATCACATACATAATTAATAAACTCAAAAGTCATCAAAGTGACAATTTAATGTGTATATGATCAATCGAGAGTATAATGAAGGATTGAAAATTTTCACTACAATGTAAAGAAAAAATGTACTTGCCCTTCCAAGCCTTGTATTGATCACCCATATATATATAATTTTTGATACATGTACGTTATACTTAATTATGCATACAATATACATTTACGTAAAATAATACAGTAAATACGTATGTGAGGTAAGATGTATATTCTTAAATTATCATGTGAAATATATATATACAAAGGACGCATGTAATATATCACATAAATAATAAGGACGAAAAAAAGAAAAATACTTGAGTATACGTTCAATGAAATATTAAACATCAAAAGAGTAAATAGCATTGTAGGTTGTACAAGCGCCATATATAATTGTTGAAAAAAAAAATACCTATATGCATAGTAAAAAACGATTTGCATGTATCATACATAGGTAAGTGAAAAAAGTACCATGAGGATATGATGTATGTATTTCGTATGAATGAATGCAATGCACACATAAAGTATGTATGTAGGTACATATACAACAAGGGTACCTTGATATACCTACCCTCCTAGAAGCGCTGCAATGCAAGCATATATAAATTATTAATTTACAATAACATACACGACAGGTAATAAGTAAATAATAAAAGTCTATATCTATTATGGCAAAAACAACGTTGTCTCAGCAGCAGCTCACCAACTGCAGTCAAGCGCACACCGATACGTGGGTGTTTGCGCGCGTTGTTGGCGTTGTTTCACTCCATCTCCCTTCTCATAATATACGTTTGCTCCGTCTCTTACTTCGATCCCTTTTGCTTTCAGCCGCCTGAGATTTTTTGTATGTTACAATACGAAAAAGCTCGTAACGTCGCTTTCAAAAGTATTCACTAAGATGTTGGCTAAAATTCGGTTGCTCCCTGATGTATAATACCTACCACCGAGCGAGCACTCTCTCTCCTCTCGATCTCGATGACCCAGAGAAAGGCTCGAGAGCAAAAAGCTCGGCCGAGTGTCGTTACAGAGGCCCAAAGCCGAGGTGTCTAGAGACCCTCGACAAACTTACGGCCTGAGCTCGTATACGCGCACCGCTCGACCGTAGTCTCAGCCGTGACGTCACACGCGGCAGCTGCATGTGGTGGTGTGTGTAAGGAAAAACAGGAGTGTCGTCGTCGTCGTCGTCGTCGTCCAGGATACAGGATACAGTTTGTCGTTGATGTTTGCGCATGACATCGTCCCGTAAGAAATACACGGGCTTGTTCAATGGTGCCCGTCTGGATCTTGCGCAGTGACACTCTGCACTCTCAATTAAATCTCTTGTGGATTGTCATGTATATTATACATACATACATATACCCTGTTGCAATTTAATATATATATATATTTTTTTTTTAAATAAAAGAA